ATGATTACACATACTATCATTATGGCCTAAGCAAATGAATCTGCAAGGTAAAAACAAACGGGGTGGAATTAATGATGGAGCTAGCGAGGACGGTCTCCACGGCGTCATTGGGTCAAATGGCGGGACTACTGGGTGTGCTCCATGGCTAGAACGGGATATGGACGCAGAGGACGCGCGCGGCGTTGCAGCTACGGGGTCTCCATCGATCCCCTGACTGTATCCGATAGGTAGTTAAGCCAAATGACTGTGCTATTGGCGTAGCTACGTCCGAGGAAGCGGTGTGCTCCATGGCCAGAACGGGATATGGACGCAGAGGACGCGCGCGGGGTTTAAACTACGCAATCCCCATCGATCCGTGGACTGTATTAGTTATGCAAATAGAGAATTCTCTATCTGATTAGGGAATTCTCTATATTCTTCTAGAAAAACGAAGCTCATCTTCTAGAAGCTATTTAAGATGTCACGAAAAGTTTCAACGTTAGTGGTTTATCAGTTGATCACTTGAATAAGATTGGAGACGTAACAAGATGGAAAAATGAATGAGAGAAGAATTGGAGGAAGAGCAAAAAGATTGCATGTTTTGTGCTTCTTCTGCGCAACAAAAACAACGTATTCCTTGATCTCATGTTATGTACAAGGAAATTGTACCCCATTTGGTCAACAACGACTGTTTTGCAGTGCTAGAGCAGTTCTAATGCTTCAGAACACCTTCTAGAGCCTAGATTTGCTCCATAAGAAGGAGGTGATGACCTTGGTGACCAGCAGTCGGTCTTTTTTTGTTCTACGTGAACTACCTTCAAATCTACGGTGCGCATCCCAACAGTTCTTGGATTTTAACTTGTTATTCACTGCTTACTCTGTTTAATGGCAAGGTATATGTTACGAAATATAACTTTAATGATGCTGAGATATTTGCAAAACTCCGGACCACAGGTGTCTACGGTGGGGAACGAGCACGCTATTGTCCTTTCCGGAGAGTAACGCATTCACCACCACACCATGCGGGTACTTCGTTTCGCCTGTCTCTCAGTTATAACCGCATTAATTGTTATTGTATAATTATAATTGTGACTATAACCACAGCCTCAGCCTAACAGGGTTCAATGCCGATGTGGGCTCCCCAGATCAATCCCATTGACGGGTGAATGCTAATGGCGCTGATTGATAGAACTAGCTGAAAGACAGGAGGAGCGAAAGACTTGCATGGCGTGGTGGTGAATGTGTTACTTCCCGGAAAGGACAATAGCGCGTTCGTTCCCCACGGCAGACACCTGCGGTCCGGAGTTTTGCCAATATCTCGGCATCATTGGAGTTTTTGGATTATTGCATTTTTTCTTAGATCGTCGTACGACAGTGTTCGTGCATTGATTTGAGAAGGTGAGTTAGACTCAGAGAGGTTTGGTAAAAAGTTTTAGATCCTGAAGTTATGACTGGCTCGGTGAGCTCGGTTCGGGGTCTGAACAGCACAGCACTTGCGATGAACTGCATTACTACCGCTGCGCAAGTCGCCCTCGTACTAATTGACACAGCAAAACTTTCTAAACCCTAGGACCTGGTTAGAAGGATAACGCCACAGAATTCAATCCTATGAAGACAAAGTCTGTGTTCACCACTACTCAGCAGAGAAGGTCCAGTCATCTCAACGACACTGGAAGGCTACCAAAATCTGCCTCCTCGTTCATGCTCAGCATTTTTTTCACCAAACGAGCAGTACTTTCAAAGGCTCCCCGACAACTACTTTCAGAGAAGCATGTTCAAAATCTTCTCGACAATTGTTTTCGAAAATAATCATCAACATATCATGAGAACAGTTTCCGAAAAACTTCCATCAACTCCCGCTCAAAAGATTCGCGAGGATTTAGTCGCTTTCAAAACTTTGGAATCTGCTGGAATAAGGAGGCCTCTACCTCGGGCTGAAGGTGAAAAACTGTTGGTGCTCGCATATTATGTGAAGATGTCTCTTATAAAAAATATTTCGCACAATTTTTGTAGGACTCGTTGATCTTTCCTCCACCTAACCATACCGTCTTGTAATACCGACATTCACCGTGTCTTTTGCTACCTTCTGCTTTTCTAAGAGGTCGTTTTAAACTGCCGTTGTTAATCAACAAATTACTTGAGATGTTATTCGTTAAGAATTCCTTTTTCTTAATTATTCCTTTTTGCTTTCATTTTTTTCTGTAGTGCACATTCAATAAAGAAGAACCATCTCTTGAGTACTCTTCATCATCGCACTGACAAGAGTTCGTAATTCTGGTCGATGAAGAAGAAAAACGGCAAACAAAATGACTTGAGAATTTCAGTCAAAGTCGAAATATCTTTTCAAACAATGGAAATGTCACATAAAGATCTGAAAAAGCTAAGAAAAATCTTGGGTTAACAAATAAGGTGATGGTACAACCTCAATGATGTTGACGTATTTGCAAAATTCCGGAGCGCAGGTGTCGGCGGTGAGAAACGAGCCCGCTGTTACCTTTCAAGGGTCTAACGCGTTCACCACCACACCATGCGTGTCTTTTATTTCGCCTGCCTTTCAGCCTCTGTAAAGGTAATGAATTAGCCTTTATGGAAACTGAATTATTTGTGAGCCACTTCTGATGCGGGTTTTAGATTAGGCTTCGTCATACATGTATTATTTAGTTACAGACTTTTCTCTCAAGTTTTTTTTGATATCGATTACAGTTAGAGTTGATCACTGAAAGGTTGAGATTTTCTATTGCTTTCCCTTATTCTTCCGCGCCCATGGCCAACGAAGTCTTCCATCTCTCATGGGTCGGCAAATTGCTACCAGACTTGTCTGGGAGGATATCACTGGCTCGATACATCGGTAGGCCACCGTGAGTTATTGTAAAGGCCAGATATGCATTGAATCACCTCGGAACGATGCCTAATGAAGTCGAATGCATGGTGCATTCCTTAGGGATTGATCAACGCCGAGAGCTTTATCCTTTATCCTCTTATTCCCTTATTTAAATCCTAATCCTTGCAACTGAGTAAGATTAAGTTATACTTACATTCGGGTTGTGTAAAACTTCAGTACACTCTCTGGACTTCGACCACATTCATCTAAATGCGTCAGTGCGTCAATATACCATTCTTAAAAAGGGCGTTCTTTTTTTGCTCATTTCTCTACTGTATTAGGTTAGGGTAGTTGAGTGGGAGTAGGTAATGTTTTGGGAGTGACTTTTTCTTGTCACCTGTGTCAACATCTGTTGATTTTAAATACTCCAGCATAAGTGTTTTAATTTTTGCTCGTGCTAATCTTAGCAAAACTCTTTTTTCTTCGTTCGGTGTACGCGATGTTTTCATATAAGCTTCATTCGGCGAGTTTTAGGAAAAGACCTTTTTGGGTTGTTAAACGCTACATAAGGTTTTCATACAAATTTCATTTGACTAATGTTTCGAAGTCTTCCTCTTTTTTAGAGTTGAATCCACCGAGTCGAATGTCTATACCTATTCTTTTTTGCGTTGTGTGCCTTCGTAGTGTTATCAACTCGAATCTTCGACAGTGGAGCACCGCTTGAATGGAACTGATCACTCAGCTGTGCCTCTTTTATGCAGGAAGTTTGTTGTTGTTCTTAGTCCACTGATACCGATAGGTTTTCATGAAGATAATCCAGCCTGCAGTAGTCGGTATTACATCAGCTAGCACGTGGCAAACCATTACTTTACTTCTTAAACTGAAAAATCCAAAAACGTACGCTGATTATTCACGTCACGGTTAAACGATAGTTGGTTCCCAAAAAGGTGATGAATCGCTACTTAGGAGAGCAGCATGGATACGACACCTTTTATTCACGCTTTGCCATTATCCGTTTTTTAAACCGCTATAAAAAGATCAGTGTCGTCAGTTATTAGAAGTTGATCGGTGAAGCCGATAAGTACAAATAGGATGCTTTCTACAATCAGCTGGAAGAAGTTATCCGCAGTGCTGCTCTGGTAACTTTTGTCGGAGTTTTCATTGTCAGAATAGAAACAAGAAAAGCAGTGATTAACGATCGCCAAATCCGGGATAGGAGACAAAAATGAGAATGCAAACCGCCTTCCTGAATTATTACTCACAGCTCAGCTTTTACGTGAAAAACACTTTTTCAAGAAGAAAGGAAATTGCCACTGGTAATGAGTGTTATCTAACGGTGCCACATAACGCATAAGAAAAAAGTTAAGTTGGGTTTGACTGAAATATTCTGGTCGATATCATATCCATGTTTACCTTCAGATTGAGGTAGATTTGACTGGAGGATACGTGTTACTTAGAGAAGGGCTTAAAAGTAATGCTGAATATGCTGCGGTCGTTGAGTCGAAAAATTTGGATCGCCTCCCCATCTCTACCAAGGTGCTACTGAAGAAAAAAAGAATACCAAATTAGACCCTACTGCAACACACCTGTCAAGGCTCATCATAATTTTCATCTGCAAAATTCTTCAAATGAGAATTTGTGTCTGTGCAAGAAAAACAAAGCTGTCAGAAGAGCTCAAGCAGAAATTAATCTAAAGAAAATTTGCCGAGATGTCTACGAATATATTACGTTATGAGCTCTGATAAACTAAGAGGGCATCACTACCACATTTATCCATGACACGGAATTGTCGATGGAAATCTTCTAATTATATCTTTCTCGTTGAGCAATTCCTGTCGCAAACCCCAAAAATCTCCGCTTGACACAAACTGCTCGGATCCCTTCTTCCGAAATTCGAGCCGCGATGGAAAACATGAACAGAGGCAGAGTTCAGAATCATGCGTTATTACAGCTGATTTCTTTCGAGGAAGAAGTCACAAACTACATGTTCTTTCTGCAGCTCTCATGTTATCTTAACTTCGGAAGGAACGGATACCAGATCAATAAAAGTCATTACCTATGGTCATGACGTCCAATTAGGGTAAAAAGCTATTATTTTAAAAGAAACCAAAAAGATCACTCATTTGATTGTCGTCGGTACCATACGCTAAGTGTAGCTCTCAGTAGAGTGAAAAGGTAGAATGAATGAACAGATGTATAGATGAAAGAGATGAAGAATATTAGCGCCTGTGCCCTACCAACGTGCTCTAAATTCACCTCAACCATGGACGATGATCGCAAGGATAGTGAGAGAATGAAGGTTTAAATGTTTTTTTACCCTCTAATAGTGAAGAAGGGTCATCTTAGTATACACAAATATGCGGAAGGCACAAATCATTTCGGAGAAGCGTAAGTAGAGGACTCATTCTGTAAAACACCCTGATTTTCAGGAAAAGTGCATCGTCAATTTTGATCTGTGTTAGCATTTTATTCGAAATTAATGGAAGCTTGAAGCACACGAGATCCGTCATATGATTGAAATCCCTGGAAATTCAAAGGTCAAGCCAGTTTCCTTTTATTAATAAGCTTGCATAGCGGCGGGAACAAATCGCTAGTGCGGCTAAACTTCCAGCAACATCAATTTTCCACAGCGGTTATGTCGCCTAATGTATCACTATTCGAACGCTTGAATTGTTGCTGGTTTTGAGATGGTGACATCATTAAACTTCTCTAATCATGGTAAAATATCGGACCACCTTCCTGTGAACTTAGCAATAAACCTGGATGCTGATAATGCTCTATGAAAATCTGTTTTCATTTACCCTCGGCATGAATGATCAATATTTTGTTGCAATCATGAGCTTACACCAAGGTGATATCAAATTCTCATTATGGCCAGCGTTTTGGTGCCCTTGCCTCGTTCATAGCCGGAGCGGTCCGAGTATTGTTCACAGTCTTGCGCTGTGGGTCTTCGTCTTCACACTAAGTCAAATCCACTGGAGTGGATTATTGTACGAATAAGTTATGTCGTAGGTGATAATGTGCTAACAGTCTCGTATAATCTCAAAAACACAATAATATCTAAAGAGTACTTAAAAGGTGAGCCCGTATTTTAAAATTCTTCCAATTTTTTATATAGAGCGATACCTTTCTCGATCTTTGTTTGTGTGGTCCTGCTGTATGGGAATTAAATCCGAGTTGCTGCTTCTTTCAGACCGATTATTTGTTTGAAATTTGGAGGCCTTATAAACATATTTAAACGTGTTATCTTGCAAGAGCGTGGCCGACTAGCAGCACATTACGAAGATTGAAGACCACGTTGTTCAGGTGTAAGGGTTATGTATGGAGGACCATTAAAGTAAGACATGCTCAATTTCACGCAAAGGTAATAAATAATATTCATGAATAACTCATGGCAAGAGGATCTGTGATTGATGCTCCAAGAACCGATCGCCGTTCCAATTCCTGTGAATTGGAGGTAGTCCACTTTGTTAAAAAATGTTCATTCACAACCCAGAAAAGTCGAGTCGACGGCTAACAGATGGAAACGTGCTCTTCTTTCACTGTGTACGGATCTGTGCTAAAGAACAAGTTTAAAGACCCCATTGGGGCACTATCAGCTGAAAACTGTGAAATTCTTATGATGAGCGGGAAGTTCATGCTGGCTTTGTATGAACATTGGTCTGATCTCTTCGAAAATGTGGAGGTCAGAACCTGCAAATGATTAAACTAGCAAAACTCCGAAACAGTGAACATTATGCTGGGGCCCGCACAATAGTTGCAGATGGGCCATCCAAATATCCAACTATCTAACCAAGTAATCCTTTCTACTTACCGCCTACTCTTTTTCATAGCAGGGAGTGTAGCCCCGGTGAGGGTAACAGCGTGTTCTATTTCCACCGCAGACACCTGCAGTACGGAGTTGTGCAAATATCTCAGCAACATTGTGGTCATCTATCAATAATCTCACATCTATCATTAAGAAATATTTTATCAACAAGATACTCATGGAGAAGTCATTCGTACTACATTCAGTTGCCTGACAGGTCGAGCTTCTTCCACAATTGCTGCTGTTCTGTTGAGATGCCACAAGATGTGCTCCGCCCGGTGCCGATGAAGGTACAACTATCGTACTTACACCTAAATCTTTCTTTTTGTTTAGAGTAAAAACCTTTTGATGGGTCCAGTCTAATCGATTTATTCGGAGCGAATGATATTTAAGACGATTCGAAGTCAGTTTTTTCCCAAGTAAGCCGGAAGTTTCAAATACTGTCTTGTGCTATGTTGACTTTTTTACTCACTGTCTTTTTCTAGCTTTAACGGCAGAGTATTATTTGTGAAACAACCACAATGATGCCGAGATATTTACAAAACTCCGGACCGCAGATGTCTGCGGTGGGGAACGAACGCGCTATTGTCCTTTCTGGAGAGTAACGTGGTCACCACCATACCAATGCGGGTCCTTCGTTTCGCCTGTCTCTCAGCTAGCTATCGATAAAATGTCTCAGCATCATTGTGATTGTTTCACAAATAATACCCTACCGTTAAAGCCCGTAGAAGGTAGTAAATAAAAAAGTCAGCATTGTGAATTTCAACTATATCCTGAGCTTAACTGGGTTCAATGCTGATTTGTACTCCTCAGATCAATCCCGCTGACAGGCGATTGCTGATGGCAGTGATCGATAGAACTGGCTGAGAGACAGGCCAAAAAAAGGACCTGAATTGTGTGGTGGTGAACGCGTTACTCCCCGGAAAGGACAATGGGGTGTTCGTTTCTCATCGCAGACACCTGCGGGTCCGGAGTTTTGCAAATATCTCAGCTGTCTCGCGCTATAAGAATATTATTTAAATGATAAAAATCTCATGCAAATTTCTATTTTAACATATCTTTGGTAATATTGGTAACATAATAACATATATGTTAACAATAAAATAAAGTTTTTGGCGTTGATTAATCCTTGAGAGATGCGCCATGCATTTGACTTCACTAGGCATCGTTTCGAGGTGGTTGAATGCACATGAGGCCTTTACAGTGATTCGCAGTAGCCTATCTATGTATCGAGCCAGTGTTGCTATCCTCCTAGCCAAGTCCAGTACCAATTTGCCGACCCCGGAGGGCTGGAACGCTTGGTGGGCCAGGGGCGCGGGAATCGATCCCATATGTACTTTGGTGCGCCTCTAACCACTGCGCCAAAGACGCCCAAATGTTAACAATAATAAATAATAAATAACAGTTAACAGGACAATGAGTGGTAATAACTAGTAATTGGTGTTTAACGTAAGTTGATGGTTTGAACTTTTCACTAATCGATCCTTATTTGTTTCTCATTGACATTTTCTCTCACCATTGCCACAGTAGTCCTTCACATGTGCGGGTCCAATCACTTATATTTCGTCATTTTGCTAACCGTAATTCATATAGGAACTCGGGTTCCCGTGTTGGTTGAGGTGCGGCTCAGTTTTCTTCCTTAGTGAAATATGGATTCTGGTAGATGATTATATTTTATGCGATCCTCCCACCACTACCTCAGGGCATCCCAGCCACCTACGACAAGAAATCGTCCCTTATTTGAGGATGGGTGCTAGTTTCGTTCCACAACAAAAGCTATTCGTGCAATTTGCAAGTGAATCTATTGTAATACAACGCTTTTAGAGGGGATCATACACGAGACTCTGCACTTAAAAAGTTTAAATGAACAAGGAAGCGGGTAGTGCAGTGGTTTTTATACCGTTTACTATGACCGCGGCGCTGGTTCTACCCCGTCCCAAGCTCGCCGTGCCTCTCATTCATCCTGGGTCAGGAAATTAGTACGAGGACTTGTCTGGGTCAAACCTCAAAGCTCAGCCGAACCCTCACGTGGAAGGTTCAAAGACCTCTGTAGATGAATGCAAAGGATGGGGCGGAATGAAAGGAGTGCTTGGACACGCACAGTAGGTGTGAAAATATGTCATAAAAGCCAAGTGAACGGTGAAAAACATCCATGTCTTTGAGAATAAAATAAAAAAACAAGTGATAGTAATCTATGGTGCTAGTTAAATTTGTTAAGCAATGTCTCAGAAGCAACTCATACTCAGCATAGACTTCCATTTCGCCGAAGAATCCTTAGCGATTATTGTGTAGAATATGTGTTTACAAAAGTTGTGTTACGGTACTGAGGAGCTCAAAAGTAAGACTTACTGCTCAGAAGATATTACTAATAAATAAAACTCTTGCGGGGAGCATTACACAGCACTTTAGAGCCGTATGAATTTCGTGAAGAACATGCCGATCTTGCAATAAACTCTTATTTTCGGGAGGAGGGATTTTTCACACGAAAGAAAATATGCGTTTACTAATCACACTGTGAAGTAAAATTAAAATTGCTTTCAATGCTAGTACTGAGGTGTTTCCTAAAACACGATCTGACAGACGTTAAGCATCAAAAGGATTTCTAAAAACGAATTTCCACTAGGAAAGTGTTACAGTGACTAATTCATGGTTGACTTCGATCGACTAGGAGTACTGAGATGCGCGTCGCTAGCTTTTCCACTTCAACCACCAAAAACAACCGCTTCTGCAAACATTTCAATAACTCGTTCATGACAGAATGAGGGCATTCGTTGATTTGTGGGTCTCTAGATAAAGGCGTGCATTTTCAACTCGAGATAATATTTGAAGTGACTAGAATTAATGTGGAAGTTTTGTTTTGCCTCAAAAAACTGTACAACATAGCTCTCGGTCCAATAAGTAAAGCTGAATTTCGAAAATTTGGTACAGCGAACTTTCATTTCAACAATGACCCTTCCAATGATTAAAGTTTTCGCGACAAAGCTAATTTTTTGAAAATTGACGGTGATTTGTCGATAATCTGGGTACTTTAGAAGTTTAGAACCTCATAGTCGCATTTATGGTTTTTATACAGGGCTCTTTCAAGTCAAAAATTTCAATGGGCGCGTGTGACGCAGTGTTCGGAGGCGCCTTGCAACACACACGTGGAATCGGTCCCAGTGCTTATGGCCCACCAAGCCTTCTATCCTCCGGGATCGATAAATTAGTACCAAACTTGTCTGGGAGGATGGCAGCACTGGCCCGATACATCGCTAGAACACCACGAATCATTGTGAAGGCATATGCATTCGATCACCTCTAAACGATGTTTAGTAAAGTCGAATGCGTGGCGCATCCTTCATGAATTGATCAACGCCGAGAGCTTTGTCCTTTTTACCCTTTATACATTGCCCTTTCAAATCTACATGTTTTAAAATCAGTTCATTGAAAAAATGTTAGCAAAACTGAAGCTTTTAAAGCTTTTAGCAGAAACTTGGCAGTTGAAATGTAAATAGGGGAAAAACCGTAGTGTCATGGTAGACGAAATAACGCTTTTTTATTTGCCTTCGAAGAAAATTTATTTTGTAATATGAGCGTTGAAGTAAGAAAGGGGGAGAAAAACATGGCATATGCTCCAGAAAATCAGAATTTCATCGCGATAAAAAATTCTTATCCTGCAGACAAAAACTTGTGGATTTTAAAGCTTTCCATTGTAATAAAATTCACTCCAAGTTGGAATATGTTGACTTAACTTTGAAAGCAGCCATCGCATTCACATTCTATGACTCCTACAGAGATCAAGTCGTAGCGCAAGTGCTAACAATCTAGTAGGGCTACAATTGGGTATAACCACTGCAGCGCATCGTGTTGTTTTACTGAAGGCTTGATTCTCAGCGCTATGCTGAAGGTATGTAGATGCCCTGTCGATAACATGGATTTTATATTGCCATTGTGTACGTACCCCTTCGGGTGTGCTTTTAAACGATACGTAGTAGTTGATACGGTTGCGTGATCGTTTGAAAGCACTAGCTTTCTCCAGCATACAACTGGTCGAAAATGATGATTCCATAAAAATGATTTTAGTATACACCAAATTCGCCGAAAGCGAAGACACCATCACTCATTGAAAAACTGCAGTCAATGATTGCTCCTAGTCAGACCACAATGAGTAAGTTTAAATTTCAATACGTTATGTTTCCTAGTCACCAACTGAACGTTTTCCTTCGATAAACTGAAGTTTTGGAATCTTCTACAGTCTAATTTTCTGACTGATTTCAGCTTAGACCTTGTCACAATCACATTAAAAACACCCAGACGTCTTCCTACTAAGCTAACAGTATCAATAGTTGCTCTCATCAATATCATTACTAACACTCCTGCGGCTCCAGAAAGTTTATATGTTTGCTTAGACTTTCATTAGATAGTTCATTTTTGCGAATTGTGCAAGTCCACTACAGTTTCGTTTCATTTCAACTCCATGCTACCACAACGGATGTGGTGCAATGGTTCAAACCCATGAGCTTCTGCGACAGTCGTTCCAGGAACCAGAAATTTGGTCTGGAGTCAGAAAATCTGTTTTACAGTGTAGATTTCTTGCTTTTCCTCATTTGGTAATTAACTGGTCACGTGGTGGGTGTCATAGCGGACACCGTACAATATCTACCTGAAGATTAGGGTGAACTGACATCATCTTTCAATAGAAGTTAAGAAAGGAAGATGAAGCCGACAGTGTCTCCGGTGTTGATCATCCTTGTTCAGATACTGTGGCACTACATATTTGTGCCTCGTTCTTAAATTCACTAATCAAGTAGGCGCTGAAAACTGAGTGGGACAATATTACGGTTTCAAAGTTACGCTTTTCTTTACTAGCTAGGGTATTAGTTGGTCAGAAATCCTCCAAAAACACGCCTATGGAAACACTAAATTTGACGAAACTAATCGTGCTGTGAAGTGAGCAAATAGAGAGTGAGTAGAACAATTAGTTACATGCTCGTCGCTTGAAGTGTTGATTTGCCCGACGAAAAGACGAAGTTGTGTCTTCTGCGAGTCACTAGTGGTCTGCAATTGGCTTGCTTGTGTTGCAACGTTGCCCAGTCAAGATATTCGCGACAAAACGAAGCTATTATCCTTAAAGGTTTGTTATATTGGAAAGGTGGCCGGTGAAATCGAACCGTGAAGTCGACTTGCTGCTAAACATTCAAGGATGCCGACGCAAGATGAACCCATGGGGTCGGGTTGCGATAATGAATGCTAGTGATCGAACTGTTCGTTGGAGCGAAGTGTAGCATGAGACCACGCCGGTCCTTACATGATGCTGTGTACCCCAGACTTGGGTTTTTTTTTGGTTTTTTTTTCACCTTTACACGTGATAACAATAGAACGAGAACGGGTTCAAAAAGCAAAGCTAATGTGAGTGAAAACACACTATCGATAAGGCAGCAACTTTAGCAAGAAATTGGCGAGGTAGTAGAGAACAAAGGATGTGTAGAACTGCAATTTAACAAAAGAAAGCAAGAAGAAGGTGATGAAGAAAATACAAATGAGCAGAAATGGCTAGTGGGACTTTCAAATTACTAATGAAAGGCGAATGCTACTGGAGTGGGTGCGATTCTTTTCAAGCTAGTGTTTTTGTAGCATACGACGTTATGACACAAAAAGATAGCGAGGTGTTAAAGGGCCTACTCAAACAATAGTTTTTATAAGTGTGCAGCTACTAGCAGACAAATATTCGACTCAATATTTTCCTGCTGGCTGTGAAAAAAGTAGATGAGCCGGGTGTTAGGAAACAATTTACGGATGGAGCGAGCAAAATTCATTAGGAGAGGGAGAATTCTCTGTTCTTTACAGAATATAAAGAATGTTCCTTGTTTCATAGACAATACTCTCTAGAAGGTTATAAGATTATTCACAAACGCCGACGATAGTTGAAAGTCGATTGTGGAGTCTACGCAATCTTAATCCACTCTGGTGGCAGTGTGAAAAACATCCTGTGTTTTTAGTAGAAAAATATGTCACCCACTCAAATATTTCGCGTAGTGTCAAGGGCGCTTGTGGTAAAGTGGTCGGAGGCACCCTGCAATACACCTGGGATCGGTTCCCGTGCCAATGGCTCACCAAGGGTTCCATGCCTCAGTGGTTAGCAAATTGGTGCCAGACTTGTCTGGGAGGATAGCAGCACTGGTTCGATACATCACTAAGAGACAGCGAGTCATTGTAAAAGCCAGATATGAATTCAATCACCTTCAAATGCGCTCAATGAAGTCGAATGCATGGCCTATCCGTGAGGGATTGATCGACATCGAGAGCTTAATCCTTTATCCTTTATCTCTTGTGAGACGAGCAGATTCTAAGACATAGTTAAATAAAATGACAAGAGAATTTTCCTAATTTTAGTTTCTCAGAAGGAAACCATAAATTACATTTTCGTTTGAATGAGTGGAGTTTTTGCATTTTTCTTGTTGGAAAATATGGGACGCCTCTTTTCAAATCAGTGCAGAAATGGTGATTTCGTTAAGTCGTGTTTACTCTTCAAAGCAAGAACTGTTACATTTCAGCCGCGCAACCTGTAAAAGTGCGTCTAATCAACGGATGGCAAGACGTCACGTTCGATAAGATGAATATCGTGATTTGTAACTATCTGTATGATCATCAAAGTGCGAACCACCAAATGTGAGAACAGAAATGAGGGAATTACAGCTGGGATACAAGGCTTCTTTAACAGACATTTTTTCATGTTTACGTGGAGTTGATTTGATAACGGATCAGAAGAGTACGACATTATTCAGCTTTGTGATAAGTTTTCAGGGCCCTAACTTGCCAATATCACGTCTGCTTCACACGCAGAAGGTCATCCGGTAGGCGGGTGCAGCGCAGTGGCCGGAGGCACGCTGAAACACACGTGGAATCGGCCCTCACCAATCCTTCCCTCCCTCCGGGGTCGGCAAATTGGTACCAGATTTATCTAGGAGGATAGCAGCACTTGCTCGATACATCGGTAGGCTATCGCGAGTCATTGTAAAGGCCACATATGCATTTAGTCAGCTCCAAACGATGCTTAATGGGGTCGAATCCCTGGCGCGTTGATCGACATCGAGAGCTTTATGCTTTCTCCTTTTTAACTTGCCATGTTGTAACCGACTCTTTTGTGTCGTCGGTAGAAGTTTTTATGCACTGATTGGCTTAAATTTCCAAATGATTTCCGAAGATATTTTAACGTCATTATCCATTTAAGTCTCAAAAAATTGCCGTTCGCGCTGTTAAGAATTGAACAATAAAAACGGGGAAGAAGCCGACTTTTACCAGTTCGTTTCCTAGAAACTAAATGATTGTGTCACTGATGGAGACTAAACTATCTGCTGCCCTTGATTTTTTCAATTTTTATCGCTGAGTGAGTAAATCTTGTGACCCTGGAAACTAATACCAGAAAGCAAAATAAATATCGAGGTGTTAGCAAGGTAAAACGGCTCGGTACTATAAATTATTAACAGGAGCTTTCAGAATGCAGGTCCTCAAAAGTGCTCAGTAGTGGGAATGCTGAACCCTAACATTAAAACCATAGCACGACGGCAATATCGATTAGGAAGCCATATTTTGCCTCAGTGAACAAAACCCTGCTTCTTCAATCCCTTTAGCTTCTCGAGATACGACACGTGCAGAAGGGCGAGAAAAAACGGTCTTGAATTCTAGGACAACAGCATGTTAGAATGAATTAGAACAAGAAGTCATGCAGCTTAATGATTTAAGTTTAATGAGCCCAGTGATTCTGGTTTCAGATATAAAAATCTATAAGCTGACATATGCATGCTTAGATTGAAATCTTAAGATGTTTTTGGTCACGCATGAATCACATGTGATTCATGTAGTCGCGAATTTGTTGATGATAAACTTTTTTAAAATCAATTTTAGGTGGAAAGAGCTTGAGAGGATCACTACATTACGGCGGGAGTATTTGTTCTATGCGATGTGCTGTGCTGTTTCCGCATTGCTTTTTCGTAATGATTTACTCACGTTGTTGTACTGCGTAGTGGTGAGTGGATTAACCGTCACTGTTGACTATTTCTAACTGTAGTTTTTCTTTCCATAGGAAAATTTAGTCAACCAGCTGTATGTTGATTCTAATAACAGAGTAGATCATCCGCCGCTTCAAAGCCTTCTTTAGATGAAACCGCAGGCCTAACGAAATTAGGGATTATTGTTCCATACAAGTTAAGGGCTTCGTTGACGCATCGAACCAACTGTGTTACCAGCTACTTCACCACAGTAACAAACATGACCGGAGAAAAAACAGTATCCATAGCGATCGCAAATTAACCAGAAATACATTGCATATAAACTTACACTAGAAACAACCTAGGAAAAAATTATAGCACAACTGCAGTAGTTAATAAACATTTTTAACAAGCTTACTTATCTGGGTACTTGGATAGCCCGTCTTCACTGGTTGTGTAGGCTCCAGCACGACTTCCATTTATTTCGGAGTCTTGGTGGTTTAGGCATTGCTGTTCCTTGGAGTCCCGAGGTCACCCAGGCCAAAGTGTGTCCTACGTAGTCGCTACCACAGCTGGTAACCGCCTTTGTGGATTAGAGCGAGATTTGCCACCACTAGTTTGATAATAGAGCGATGGCGGATCCTGGTATTGGCTAACTCTTACCTGGGTTCACTGGTGGAAACGCCGGACTCCTCAGATTTGGAGACCCTGCTGTGAGATGAATCTCCCGCTACACGTCGTAGCTAGCAATGAAGAACACCTCCCAGCCACGATGAGGCGATAAACCGTTGGGAGGATTTTTAACAAACATATATTTAAGCTATTGAGCCCACACAAAATTGATGAATAGGTTTTTTCGGCTAAAGTTTCGACATTTTTGACAAAATCGATAGCAGAGCGACTTCTGATGGTGTAAAAAATCCACAATTCAAAGCCACTATCGCCTACCATCTCGAAGTTTCGGATTTTGAACAAAACACAATGGAACTAAAAAAAGATGGAAATACTGTGTAGTACATGCTTGCATAGGCTAAGATTTCGCAAACTTTGACCAACATCTGGAAAGACAACTCTTTCATGTAGGCGCAAATGAGTGGTCACTTTTGTTCCATGTTGAAGCAGCAAGGGGCGATTCCTGAAAATCCGTTTGTTTGATGCTCGACAATGTCTTAGTGGTTGTCAAAGAATGTGGAGAACACAGCTCAAATTGTGCAAGAGAAATTAATTGCCGACACATCACAGAACTGCGAGTCAAAGTAACCAAAACCTAGCAGTGGTGCCCTAGGAGTGCGTACAGCGCAGTGGTTGCAAATTCTTTGCAACGCACACTGATTCTCATTTCAATGCCCTGGTCTCAGTAATTCTTCCATCTTTCCTGGTTGGCAAATTTGTTGACATATATGTATATATGACATATATGCCAGAGCTTCTTTAGGAGGACAAAGAGGCTAACAAAGATATACATCCAATCACATCTACTATTCTTGGTGAAGTTGAATGCACTACGCATCTCTCAGAAGCTAATCAGCTCCGAAAGCCTTATCCTTCATTAGTGAAGCTCCTGTGAAGTGATTTTGTTAGGTCGAACAAATTACCTTCCGAGTGCACAGAGGCACATAGCGAAGCTTTTACAAGAATCCAGCGTTAACGGAAAAAAGGGGTAATGTGTATCGGAGTACCCATTTCATCACAAGCTTGGCAGTTAGAGCAGTAGAACCAGTGTAGGGTCAAATAAAGGTTGATATAGGTTGAAACGTCGTTTCACAATAGTATGAAAGATTCGTGATAAATTGAACAGTTGAGCTGAATTGACTTCACTGCGATTAAGAAACTGGGCTCCTTGTTTTGGTAATGGTATCACTTAGGTGGTTCACATTTGCCACCTTAAATATGAAAACATGATACTTTGTTATTCATATAGATCTCGATTTGTAGCTAAGATTATTCTATGATTAAGGCGCTAGTGTTTCCTGCTATTTGCACCATTGTTGTCTTATCTACCGAGAATCTGGAAGGTGCTCGCCTCTGGCTCGAATACTGGGCAATCTATGGACTCATCACAAGTGTTGGAAAAACTTTGAAAAGGTATGCATTATAATCACATTGACATCTAGGCCTCTTTCCTCACTTTTTCGCATAATATTGCGAACAGCAGAATGCAACTGATAAGAATCAATCAGCAAGAAACTATTTCATAAAATTTAGATTACAAGGAAAAAATATTTGTAACAACATAGCAGTACTCACTGTGTAGGACATCTTGTAACAATCCAACTAAGAAGCTCTTGTTTTAAAAATCGTCAGTCACTGAACGGTCTCAACACTTACTAGGATATCGGACGGTCCATCTTTATGAGTTGAGCGGACTCCAGCATATTTGCCATTCGTTTCTTTCTCTCGTAAACGTAGTTCATGCTGGTGGTCTTGCTCGAGCATGGTAGCGCGTGCGAGTCTCATACAGTAATTTGTAAAACAACTACGGCTGCGGGTACAGCTGTTTAACTTTGTTTACGAACACGTCCACCCAACGTGTAGGTGGCCGCCCTAGGGGACGCTTGCATTCTCTTGGAGTCCACTCAACTGTTCTTTTCGTCCATCTGTCGTCTGTTCTTCTCATTATGTGATCGGCTTACCTATGTTTTGTTATCGATGTGTGTTCTCCTGGATCTCGAAGATGTGACAGATTTATTTCGAAGGTCAGAGCTTCGCATTCCGGCTGGATATTGAGAGCGCCAGGTCTAGATCTTTCAACACTTCAACACTTGACGGTCTCAACACTACTAGCTTCGGATAAAATAAAGGATAAAGCTCTCGGCGTTGATCAATCCCTGAGGGGATGCGCCATGCATTCGACTTTATTAAGCATCGTTGCAAGTGATTGAATGCATATCCGGCCCTTACAATGACTCGTGATGATCAACAGATATATCGAGCCGTGTTGCTATCCTTCCAGACAAGTCTGGTACCAATTCGCCGACCCCGGAGGAATGGAAAGCTTGATGAGCCATGGGCACAGGGATCGATCCCATGTGTGTACTGCAGGTAGCCTCCGATCACTGCTCCACAAGCGCCGTTCACGCCATTACTGCCGTTACTGCTGAGAAAATGATCTCTCCTTTCTATCTACAAGGCGGCAAAGTTTAATACCCACCAATACACGACGAAAGTCTTTGCTGATCTTCATTGCCTTTCCGGGCGAGCTTACGGATTTTTGAATGGTGCCCTGAATTTGACTGTTTCTTGAAGTAACTCCCACGACCGACTTTCCTATCGATCGACCTCGGCATTGATCGAGTAATTCTTCGTATTTTTGTTGAGCAAACGCGAGGTGTTATTATTCCTTATTCACGAATAAGCTGACGTTTCGGCGGGTTTCGCCTTCCTCAGAGCCGCTTTCTATGAGGTTTCCACTAAGTATGTCACGTAGAGACCAACCGCACAGAAATCACATGGAAGTAAAGCACATTATACTTCGTGAATAAGGAATAATAACACCTCGCGTTTGCTCAACAAAAATACGAAAAATTACTGTTTCTTGATTTTTAATAAGCATCGTTTCAGTCATGGCACAAGTGATACAAGTTGGATTGAAGTGGTCTTCTTTACGGCTTGTTTACTCCCTGGAACTTGTCTCATAAATGTTGTCTTTTCCTGCATTATGCCCACTTTCAACACCCTGAGACTGAAATTCGAGGAGTACAACTATTACTTTGTTTCTTAAACAATATAATGCCAATGGTCGAAATCGTGTGATCATTCAGTAGCTGTGTATTTGTACTACTTTTTAATAAACGTGGTATATGTCTTGTGGTTAAGCATTTGGATAAAAAGGAACCTCTTCATCTCGCATGACTATTTACGTACTTTATGAATGTACTAGGAGCCATGGAGAAAGCTTTGCGCACTTGTTTATTCCAATTCGCAATGATCAGAGCTGAAGGCTGTTATGTAGGTTCTATTCGTTCAGTTATGCAAGACCATATTTTTGATTTGACGACCTTACATTACCGTTCTAAAGTCTCAAGTCTTATATGAGCCACAACAACGCGGAAGGTAGAAGGCGGAAGGTAACCGTTGACCACGACTATCTGAAAACGACTATTGAGACTTTTAAAATCTGCTTAGGATTTACGGAAAAGGTCGACATCAGTGATCTGACGGTTGTTTGAATGACATGAAAAAGCACGGAATGGAAGGAGAGCTAATAAATAGTCTGTTCCAAGCTTTTAACGCCACTAAGCCCCCTATTTCTCAACAGTATTGCGGTATGCGATGAGAAGTGGATATTCTACTGAAACTGACGACGTTTGTAGTTGCTCAACAAAGACGAAGCCTATAAATGCTTTTCAAAAGAGCTTAGAAATAGATTGCGACGATTAGTCAACACCCAGGCCAAGCGACTAAAAGTTTTGGGAGCTGACTTTTATTTAAACGCTAACCGAACGAAAGTTTTGTAACAACTTTGTGTAAGCCGAAACATCCAAAAAGATAATCTATCAAAGGCTTTTCAACCGTAGTTATAAGCTTACAGTTAAAGAGTGCTATCAAAAAGCTCGATGAGGTCTTTGAAAAAGTGTTGGGTATATATTCATAAGATGTCACATTTGAATAGGTAATGTTGCAGATGATTATCGAATTAAGCTACTAAACTTTTTTATATCCTTCACAAGGACCACTTTTTTTGGTAAAGAGTTGCACCTTTTCAAGCTCCCCAATAACCACATCCAGAGAATTTTCGATGGCGTCTCAACAGCTACTTATGAGATGAATCTTGGCCGCCCACTGGTAACAGCTTTCAAAGAACCTTCCATGACTGCTTTTGAAAGGCTGTCGAAAATCTCGTCGTTTTCAGTCAAGAACCTGGCAGATGTGTATATTGCTGGCAAGAATTTCCAGCACAACCGAATCAACCGTTATCTTCGCGCCAGATTACTACATTGTGATGTGAAGTGATTCCTTTCTGATTGGCCATCCACACTAATCCAACGTCTGATCATGACTAGAGGTGTGCCTAGACCTCAAAACTCATTGTGCAATACAACAGATTCTAATAACGACTGTGTGTATTAAGATATAACAGTAAAGCTAAGTCATATCATTTCGAACGGCCTAGGGAACCCATTTCATCTTGACCAAGGAAGTTTCCTTTTCCCGCATAGGTGAAATCTTATTTCCCCGCTTGGCCATTCTTTACTGTCCATCTATGTGGCAAGCGACAAATAACGGCAGCAGGAATGGAAATAAGGTTTTAAAGGATATCGTAAAGGTTGTATACAGATCTAATTCTACTAACGCCTTCAAGTGTCTGACGTCGATGAAAGTGAGATGTCGACATCTTCACCCATCATCATCATCACTCTCGCTTCAATCACGAAACGTTTAAAGCCAATCTTGCAGTGTACGATTCTTAATGATTCAATGGAAAAATCTGTACAATACTGAGAAAGTGAAGTTCACATTTTAAGGTATTGAAAATCATTAACTCATTGGAAGAAGGCTTCTGCATAACAAAGCGCTAACTATTAGAAGAGAAAATCCGACGTTGAAGTTCAGGCAGTATGGTTTTTAAATGATATGTGGTTTATGATTTAAATTAGTGATAAACGGACTTTAATCTTTTCTATTCTAGGAAGAGAACAAATTTATAAGAAAATTTTAACATTTGCTAGATAGACTGGCCAAGTGAAGTGCTCAGGATTTCGTGTGAGTCGACGTGATCAAGAACGGATGAGTAGACGAAGGTGCCTGCACGACAAAGATATTCCTAAGTGGCTCTCGTCATGAATGTTTCGCCATTAATTTAACGACCTTTCATCACCGATTCTTTTCTAGGACACCTGCAACCTGAATAATCTTTTCTTCAGGAAAGCGCGATAACTGGCATGAAGAAAAACTGTTCTGCTGTCATTGAGTTTAAAAAAAACATAACAAGGAAAACAGCCGCCTTGCCATTCAAAAAAGGCTCTTTCTTGCTTTAGTTTGTAAGCTGTTATCATAAATAAGAAACGCGTGTGTCGAAGTCGTTAGAGATGCCGTGAAATACTCAAGTGGTCGTTGGTTCGATACTGAGCTCCGGTCCCCTTTCTCCTTCTTTTTCAAGCCTTTCTATCCCTTCAGTGTCGTCAAATTGGTACCAGACCTATCTAGTAAGATCGCACTACTAACTTTCGGTAGTCCACTGCAGTTATCATGCGTTCCAGATATGCGCTTAATCACCTCTAACCATGCTATATGAAGTCGGGATATGGCACATCCCTCAGAAATTGATCACGGCCTAACGCTTCATTTTTTCTCCTTTATCACAATAAAGGCAGTCTCCACCCGCGTTTGACATGCAATAGAGGACTTTGTTTGTCTTCAGTGACGAGACATAATTGTGCTTTAAGATGTTCATTTTTTTTTTCGACTTTATGTCACGAAATGTCAACAGACAACTATCTGGTCTCCCACGCCAGCCATCTAGTATATTAACCGTGTTGATATCTGGCACAATAGGTTGGTGTTATTTATTAGAAACAGTTCCAGATTTACCCCTCGCGGAAGAGTTATTTATTGTAAACTTTTAGACTTGCATGCACATCTTGCATCTGCATGCATCTTGGTGAATTAATGTTGGCACATTGCCTAGAAGGCCCGTGTGGCGCAGTGGTCGAAGGCGCACTGCAACACATATGTGGAATCGATCTTCGCGTCCATGGATCACCAAACTTTCCATTCCAAAGCGGCCGGCAAATTGGTACCAGACTTGTCTGGGAGGATAGCAGCACTGGCTCCTAAAGGCCAGATATGCATTCAATTACTTTCCAACGATGCTTAATGAAGTCGACTGCATGGCGCATCCCTCAAGAATTGATCAACGCCGAGAGCTTTATCCTTCATCCTTTTACATTGCATGGGAGTGTCTAGGTAGAATGTTCATGTGTAAGGAATAGAAATTTCTTGACTGTATAAAGCGTTTTTGGCGTTCTAATAATTTCTAGCATATGGTAAGTTTTTAAAAATTGTTTCCAATAAAAAAAAGGAAGCGCCACTGAATCACTAAAGATGAACATAACCGTTGACATCAGCATGAAGAGTAGTTTTATTATCTGACAGAGTAGAAAATTGCTGGACTAGACACTTAGAGGACGACTTCATTGTAGCTCCAATCTAAGAATCTTTTCCATTCGTCTCCTTGTCTTGTAGTAATTATTCGCAAGTATGGCTAGATTCATCTCAATGGTTTACCGCCTCATCGTGGTTGAAAAGTGTTCTTGGTGTCGGATTGCGAAGTACAGTGGGTGATTCGTCCCTCCGGCAAGGTCTTCTAAGCCGAGAAGGAGTCCGGCGTTCCCATCAAGAAGCCAAGCTAAGAGTGAACCAATAACAGGATTCACTACCCTCTTGGTATCAAAGTCGTATAGTTGTAAATCTCTCTCTGATCCACAAAGACTGCGACTGCCTGTCGTGGTGACGACCTGGGGCAGACTTTGGCTAGGCTGTCCTCGGGATTCCAGGGAATCACAATGGCTTAACCAGCAAGTCTCCGAAAAATGGTGATTATGCTGGGGCCCGCACAACTAGTGATGAGGGGTCGTTCAAGTATCAAACAGGTAAGTAGGCATGGTTAGATTATTTTGTGGGCTATCTCACGACTGCAAGGAGAATCGATTGGATCAGCGGGGCCGAAACCACACGTAAAAGTTGGAAAACCTTTGCGGATGATGGATGCGAGGAAACGAATCGAATGTGAGAAGTGCTGGGAACCGCACATTAGACGTGAACCCGGGTCATATAAAAACAAAAAATATAATATTTTGTGCAATTACCTGTTGTATATGTATAATTATATATATGTTATATATCGTGAGAACACGGTGATATCAGCTTTCAGAAGAGTTTCGATAATCAAGAACAGTCGAACTCTCTCCATGTAGTGAGTAAGCTTATACTGCGGTATCCAACTAGCTTTTTTTGCCAATGAATAAAGCAAGTCATGCCAAATTTGGAAATGTTAACAGCTGAAAGTGAAGAATTCTGTGAAGATGCTTCGACAAATAAAATCTGGTTCGCTTCCAACATCGCAGTAAGAACTTGCTAAAAGTGTTCACCACTAAAATAATATGAAGTTATTCATTACTTTCTCGATGAGCAAGCACGAAGTTGTTATATGATTATCTTTTGACAAAAGGCTGACGTTTGGGTGGATTTCGCCTTCATCGGAATCTGGAAACGTTAGACCTGGAAAGCTCAAGTTGACTGCTAACACCTCCGTAACCAACATAGAAAAAGTACGAACCTAGATTTCAGTCACAATGAGAACATGATAGCTTTTTGGCACGCTTACCGCTTCCTGGAAGTCTTCCACTGAGTATTTCACTTGAAGAGCAACCACACAGAATTCACATAGATGGGTAATGTGCTTCTCACATTAAAATATCATTCTTAAATGATGTGTGAGGTTAATCGTTATGACAAGGCATTTGTAGCTGCAGTTCATTTTCAGATTCTTGGAATCCATTCAGAATGCTTCGAGAGTTTTGCTCGATAAAGTTTTCGATTGCTGCGCGAGGATGGTGACTTCTACATACTTTAAATTATTTCCCGCGATGTCCCTGTGTCTTATACGCGTTTAGTGTAGCATTTAGTTTAATTTTAAATTTGCTAACTGGGTGTTCTTCTACACGGATGCACAGTGGTCTACTCGTTTCGCCGATGTATCATCTCTGTACGCTTTCCATGAGATCAGACAAATCGTACCCGAGCTCAAGCAATCGTGTTGTACCACTTGCACATATTATGCAATTTTGCATTGTGCATAGACGGTCACATAGGCGGTTGCGACCTAGCTAGCGTCTTAGAGTGCTCGGTGGTATTTCAATTACTCCAGCAGAATTCTCTAGACCGGCCCTTTCTAAGCAACGTGTATTTATCGCGTATTTGAAAATGTGAAGCTTGGGATTCTTCCTTGATCCCGGTTATTTTATTTCCAGAATGAATTTTGTCGGATTGGTCGGCATTCATTTTGGTTATACAGGTTTTTAGCGAGGCAAGCGCAAACTATTGTGAGTTTTCACTGTCCAGTTTTTGTTTGGAGGTGGATAAACGTCTTTCCGGTTGGCCGATTTTCCATCAGTGATCTACCGCCTCCTATCAATTGTGGCTTAGTGGGAGTGTTTCTTGGTTCGATCTCCCATGAATAGGCGCCAGGTTTATTCTCTAGCAAAACCCTCTAAACGGTGTTTGACGCTCCCACTTGGAAACCCACTACCAGGAGTCACTCTTGAGCTGGTATCAAATTAATCAGTGGTTAGTAAATTTCCTTGTGATCCACATGGGCCGCCGGCTGCTTGTGGTGGTGAAGAGCTGAAGAAGTCTTTGGCAAGAGTAACCTCGGGACGGCAGAGACCAACCAATCACTCAATCAGTAAAACCCCAACCTTGGTATCTTTCGTACGATGGTATCTCCTCTCTTGGACGTCGGTGGAAAGGCAACTGGTGAGAGTCGATCAAATCTCGGACTAAACATGTTGTCAATGGAACCGGAATAAGCGAACATGGCGGCATGCCACAAAGAGTGATTTGTACTTAAACTGTACTTTGTACCAAAGTACTTAAAAGTTGTGCCTAACTCACCTCAGGTCCTTACACAAGAAGTTAAGAACATGTTTTCATCACTGCTAAAAATGAGAAAAAAGTGGAGGTTATTCCTACTGTAACATATCTGACCCAGCTTTTGCAGAAAATCTTGCGCCGATGTGGACAGAAAAATTATCTGAAGCTGCGTGAAAACGATCTAGTCTGAGGAAGAACCACTAGGTTAGTAAAACTATAGTGCTTTGCTATTCGTCCTAATAAAAAGTATGAAACTACTATCACATTTCGAGATGGCTTATAGTTGTGAACCAAAAATTTCTGAAGCAATCTTTTTCGTTCTACAATTCCTGTCTTGTTCCCCGAAATCTCTGCTAGAAAAAAAGCCGTCGGAGATCCTATACCCTAAGGTTTGAACTACAGCAGAAAACATGATGAGAAGCACAGCTCCAAAATCCTATAATATTACAGTTGACTTCTTTCGTGCTGGGGGCCACAAACTACATGTGCTTCTAGGTAACCATGTGACATTTTATTTCCGAAGGGAAAAAATTCATGACCAGTGAAGACCACAAACCGCGCTAAAGCTACCCGACAGTGTTGGCCGAATCTTAATAAGTATCGCCCAATGTACTTGCTGATTGTACAGTTCACGAAGGTGATCCTACTCCACATATAAAACACTTGAGATGTTGAGTCGAGTTCAATCGAGTAACTAGTTGAACAAGCAGGATAATGACGAGGATACCACCACTGCATGGACAATATGCAAACATTACCGCGAGTCGTACAGATCCGTCGACAATACATTTACACGTTGTCCTACCTTTACCGGCTAAAAAAACACTTGGCAATGTTGAACCAAGTGCAATAACACTAGTACTAGTTAAGGAACCTGTGGACCCCGCAAGGAGCTCTAGCTGAGTATTGTCGTAGCAGCACTTCTAAAATACATTTTTGTATTTATCGCTTACCATTCCCAATCGAGGGGTCTGGCCAGATGACAGCATCTCTCCAAAATTCTCCATTACCTTACTACAATGGATAATGAAACGACTGGATTGTGATGATAAGGACATATGTATTGAAGGAGTACTTCTGTCAAATCATCACTTTTCTGATAACGTGATCATCCTCTTGAAGAGTATAAGAGATACAAGGGAGACAACGTTCAGTCAGCTCAACAAAGAGGGAAAATGACTGGATTGAAAATAAGACAAAGACCCTGTTTATGTAGAACTCATGGTGCGAAAGCGATCTGGATCGTTCTCTGATTACAGACAACACATCCCACATATATCTTAGAGGTTTAATGAGCATAGATATCAACAATGAACAAGGTATTGGATTGAAGAAAGAGGGCAAAATTATCAGCATTCGGGACTCAAGAAAGCCACCGACAAACTACTGGACCCAAAACTCCGCGCTCAGTTTTCCAATTCAATACTCCTCCCAGCGCTCTGTTTTGTAACAGAGACGTGCGCTGGTACTTCAACTAGCCTAAAGTTGCCATTCCAACCCTGCGTACTCGAGTGGAGAAATTGTTGGAATAATCAGTTCAGATTGAGAGCTTAGCTTGAAAAAGCGAGTGGATTATGGAATACATAACAGCAAAGGTAAAGCGGTAAAAACAAAAACCTAGGACAAGCAATTGAACCCTCACTTCTTCACACACCAACTGACCAGGCATTAATGTACTCGAAGTTGAAACGTTACATAGGCAAGTTAACAATATATTCAGAGAACACACTGTGGTGAAGATCGCATTGGGGAATTCATTCTTCGTACAAGCAAGAGAAGGATTTCGGAAAGGCAGCTTGAAGAAAGAAGCATACAGCTGTGCAATAAATGTCAGAAGTCATGTTACACATGTGAAGTGTTTTAGCGATAATTCCAAGACTAGATAAGTCAGTGGATGCATTTTGCAACGTCAATCATAGAGGAGGACGCTCAGTGCTGTGACAATGGAAGGAATGTGTTATAATTTGTTTGAAGCTTGTTGTGGACGAGGGACAGACGTATATGGTAACAATGAAAACCTACTAAATGATAAAAAGATAAAGCTCTCCACGTTGGTCATTTTCTGAAGGATGTGCAACGATTTCGATTTCGCTAAGCATCGTTAACATCATTGGAGGTGATTGAATTCATATCTGACCTTTAAAATGACTCACGGTGGCCTACCCTGTATCGACTCTGTGCTGCTATCCTCCGAGACAAGTCTGGTACCAATTTACCAAACTCGGAGAGAGGGAAGGCTTGGCGAGACTGAGGCGTGGAGACCGACCTCAAGAGTATTGCAGGGCGTCTTCGATAGCAGCCCTACACGCGCACCTAGAAAGATACCAACCTTTCAAAATGTAACGAACTGGAAGTTTTCACCTATTTAACAACGATTTAATACGATAGGAGATCGTAACATTGTGGACACTTGGTTGAACAGAAGATAAGGAAAAACTTGCGTATTCCGAAGAGCGTTCAAAAAAGCCTTATTGCTCGAGTGCTTAGAGGAGCACGCAAAAGGCAACCATCACAGCTAAACCGTTGCACCTATATATGATTGCTCTTTGTTTTAGTTTTTGTAGCATTAACGACCTCTCTATGCAGTAAAGCCTTAAAGTGTTTATGACTTGTGCCTTCTGTATTGGCATTTGGGGACCACACTGTTGAACTTTCCTCCTTACGGTTTACCGCCTCATCCTGGCTGGGAGGTGTTCCTGGGTGTCTAGGTGCGATCATTTCCATCAGAAAGCCCAGCTACGAGTACACCAATACAGAATCCACCGCTGTCTTGGTATCAAACTAGTTGCATGGTGGCAAATCTCCCTCTGATCCACATGTGCGGTGACTGTTTGTGAGGGTGACAAACCGAAGCAGACTTTGGCCTGGCTTGCCTCGGAACCTCCAAAAAAATGGAAATTATGATGGTGCCCGCACAAGCGCTAAAGACGGGCCATCCAAGTATCCAAGTAGTTATGGTAGTATCTAGTCGCCTGCACAACGCTGGTTTTCTGTGAAATTTTCGTAGCACTTATTTATGCCCCAACTTCTTGTCGTTTTATGGAGATGGAAATATACACTGTTTTGAAAAATATAACAAAAAAGATATTTATATCAACAGTGGAGGAATGTTGCAAAGCAGAGATACAATCAAATTTGGTCAACTTGATTTTGGGAAATTTTAAAGAGCTAGTTCACACATTTATGTTAAATAGGTGCATTAACACCACAAGCTAACATAAATACGCATTTACAGAGGAATTACATCACCACTGAATTCGAGCCATTTGTGCTTGTTGTTGTCTCTCTGATTGGAGAATATAAGCGTTCTCCTCAAGCGTTGTGTTCACGGCGTGTGGTTCACGAGTGACGCTCTTAAGATCTAACGTATTATCGAACCCCCACCAATCGAAGTTGTCGCTTACCCTGTCGAGGATGCCGTCATGTGGTGTATGGAGACAGAAATTGCATCCCATTCCAGCGGCATTACATCGAAAAATTCACCAAAGCCATCAAACTCTGGAAAGTCGTTGAGAACGTTCTCGATATTCTTAGGGTTTGACTTACTGAGACCGAGTACTTTATTATTGATACTATTTATAGAGCAATTTCCAGTTGACTCGATAGCGTTAGAGACGAATTTTTATCACCAAATGCGTCCTCCATATGGTCTCCGATGCTCATATTCTGCAGCCAATATGATCTGCATTTTGGCTGAAATGTATCCTGAAGCAGACTGCAGGTTTAAACCATTTTCTAAGCTTCCGGCAGTCTCACGTACGAGACGTTGCAACGGCAGTTTACGGATGAGCAGTTCGGTCAGTTTCCGATACCTGCGCATATTACGGAGAGCAACGAGTGCAGGACGATAACCACGAGGCTTTTTCACTACAGGTGTGCTCGCACTTAAGGGTAGTCTTTGTCGCAAACTACTTATGGAAAGCTTCCTCTTCAGTCAATTTACGTGATGGTACGCTTCGCATGGTCCATTTCTCAAACGCTTGCAATTGAATCTGCACAGAGTGCGTGGTGCAGTGGTAGTGATGCTGACCATTACAACATGGTGCTGATTGGATCTCGGTACAGTACCACCAAGCCTCTCATCTTTTAGAGGTCTTTTAGAGGTCAGAAGATTGGCACCGGACTTATTTGGGAAAAGTTCGCTCTCTAAAAATTATGAATGCAATCGTCGTTGGCGTTTCCTGTCTTTCTCTCTTGACAGTGACTTTTTAAAATACCAGAGAGCCTAGAGTAGGCAGAGAAGTGTTTAATCAAACCTCGTATTTTTTCTCTAACTCATTGCCCACATGAAAAGAAAATAGCAAGAACTGCCTTTGTCAAAAAGCTAGTGAACCCACTTTTGCCAACACAAGTCGAATAATTTATTACATCCTTGATGAGCAAACACGAGGTTGTTAATTTGTACGTTGTTTATAAACAAGCTAGCGTTCCGGCGTATTTAGCTTCCTTCGGAGCCTGAAAAGGTCAAGTTGATCGTAATCTACCCACCTAAACACCTCCATAACTAAAAAAGAGAAAATGTTGAACTAAGATTTCAATCACATTGATCAGAAAATAGCTTCTTGGCACACTAGCCGCTTTCTGTGGATGAGGATGTCACGTGCAGTCCAATCGCAAAGAGTTCACCTGAGAGCATGATCTGCTTTTCAGAGTAGAATAACAGTCTTAAAATATTGCATGAGATCACGCGTGATTCTCAGGAATTCTTCCCTGCGATTCATTTTCGGATTCGTAGAATTCAAAAAGAATGCTGCCAGAGTTTTGTGTGGTGAACCTTTCGATTCCTTTGCGATGGTAAAGCCTATTCTTCAAAATCCTCTCCGTTACGTTTTTCTACGAGCAGTCAGTGGCATATTTGCGACAGCTTTAAGTTTATTAAATATGTGTCCTTGTGTACGGATACAGAGTGGTGTACTCGTTTCGCCAATCTATTCGCCCCCTCACGCTTTACAAAGGATCATATAAACCACGCACGAATTCATGCAATCACGGTCTCAACCGCCAGGGAATATTGTACAATTTTACGTGGCAACACGCTTCGTTAACACGAGGGAGCAATAAACGTAAGGCTTTAGGAGTCAGCAGTTGATGTCCCTCTTTAAGAAGTGCCGAAACTGGTCAATCTTCAGACTTTCCAAACAATATTATGCACAAATGAGGGTTGGCAATGTGATAACGACTGGTACCAAGCTTTGCGACTGTTTTTATGCCTAAGATTGAAGCACCAGTAACCGTACTCCCGCAATTATTCAACCGCAGACAAATAAAACTGCTTTGTCACTTCCTCCAAACGGGATGAAATGCTTTGAGTTCTTGAACGAACAATTAGAGTCGATTACATTCCCCCGAGAGAAATTGAAAGAAAACTGGCTTTCATTCTTGAACGTTCAAATTAACGCACCCAAAAACGGCTACATTAAAAAATGGTTCTGAAAGCCAAGCAGTAAAAATGTAGTGGTTCACTGCCTCTCTTCTCTCAACTTACACACCAAAAACGCACATGTGAGAAATATGGTTCGAACAACCACCAGTGCGTGCGAGAAGAGAGCATAAGGAAGAATCCTTGAAGTTTGTGCGGCAAGCATCCACTTCGAATGGCTATGAAACTGTAGCGCCTCGGGATAGGCGTAGAGGGAAATCCATGCTCCCAAACGACAACTCTGATGATAACAAGATCTCGCCTATCCTGCTCTTGATTTAAAGCCAAATAAGTGCCGATATAAAACGAGCATAAGAAGATTTGGTGTTGAGAGTTTGATAATAATAATTGAGGTGGGTGCCACCAAACACTATAATACACTAGCTAATTGTTCATCGCCTGTATGATCGCTTATTTGCAACGAAAAATTGCATAATACGCCCCAACGGTAGAGACGGTGATTGCATGAGTTCGGGTATGGCGTATCCAATCTCTTACAAAGCATGTGGTATGAAGGCTTTGGCGAAACGGGTAAACCATTTTCCATCCGTTCAAAACAACATTTAGTCGGTAAAGTTAAATTGAAAAAAACACTCCATTAGGTGCGCATTGGGCAGAAACATAACGGAAACGATTTTAAAACAAGAGTCACTATCCTCGCACAGAAATCCAAAATATCAGAACACGAAACTCTTTACGCGTTTTGGACTATTCCCAGAAATTACAAAATGGACTGCAAGGAGCGGTGTCTCACTGACAACTAACTGGAGGACTTACAACGAACAAAACGGCTGTTGTTTAAAGGAAGCTGTTTATTATGCGAAAACAAATTTATGTGTTAAGTATTATTTTCTAAGGTTATAGAAGTGTTTGGTTAAGTGGATTGAAAGGCAAGTTGACCATTTCATGCATTGTGTGTGCTAATAAGTGCTATAATACCAACCTTGTGTTTGCTCATAGCGATCAATGCCGAGGTGAGTCGAAAATCGGTTTTGGGAATTACTCAAAAATTATTTACATTCCTGAAGCCACGTGTATCCATATATTCTACAAAATCGTCAAACCTCCAGAAAAGTACTACCGAGCCAAAAAATTACCACAGTAATTGGAAAATCAGAATCGTCGCCAACGGGGAAAGAAAACTGGAGGACCTGAAAAACCAGAAGAGTTCATTAACTTCGTAATCCTCTTGGAACGAAGGCTTTTTACTTGCTCTTTCAGCAGATATCGAACCAATAGGCCAAATTTCTACATCTATGGAATAGTGCTGGGTTCCCAGAAGTCTCTAGCACACAATACCATAGCGTTACTACGAAAATTTAAGGTAAATAGACGGAAAAAAGAGTTCTTGATAATCTTGTTGAGAAAAAAGGTTTTCAACGGTAATCTTCAAACCGACCATGATTTAACCTCGATAGTAATAATTAATGTTTTTTGGTTTGCTAAGACAACACAAGGTTGATAAGTAGACATATTTGGCCAACGTTTCGACGGCTTCGCCTTCATCAGAGCCATTGGTTCGAGCCAATGGTCCACAGTTGCTCGTTTTCTCGATTTGCCATCTTCGTTGCCGCACCGAGACGCACATTCTAAAAGGCGAACACCGCTCGAATGAGGCGAGATCACACGGCAGGCTTCTTTTATACTGGATGGCTGCTGTTAATACAACAATCCACTGACAATGATTTGCTTTTCATCGGTTAATCCATCTTGCAGAATCCATTCACTGTGCTATTCGCTATGTGCTAGCTGCCATTATACCGACTGCTGCAGCATTATATAGAGAACTTCTCCATTGAAAAGTTCTCTATCTATCTAAATAATAGTATTTGAAGTCCAAATATGGCCGCCTCGCAGTCGCACATCAAACACCGCAATGTAACCTTTGTAATCTTCTCGATCAATTATGTTCAGTGTTTCAGGCACAATAGCGATTCAGGTTTGACTTCAGTAGCATAGCGACGATGGCTTATCAGAAGGAGGCGTAACCATGGAACAGTTTACTACTTCCTTGCGAAACAACAAAGCTAATGACGTTTGATGTTTCAGGCAGTTAGGTACAGTCTATTGCAGTCCACCAGGATCAATAATCCAGATTAACCGCGGTCGCATACACTCGCGGCTCCCGCAGCCGATATAAGCCAGGTGCCTTCGACGGCGGAGACATGCCATCACTCACCTTACCCCCGATCGGTAGCGCGGATAACGCGCTCCTCACAACCACATCCTCAATCATCCTCAATCACCTCAACTCATTCTTAGTCATACTCATTCATTCTCCTTCAATCACATTCATTCATACATTCACATTCATCCTTCAGTAATCAGCAGATTATTGTATCTCGTTTCTTGGCTTGTCTACGGTGTCATCGACAGATGTTTCGAGTTGTTGAACACACAGTCAGAGTATATTAAATTCACCCGAGAGAAACCAAAAGAAGACTGGCTTCCATTTCTGAACGTGCAAATTAGCCTATCAGGAAACGGCTACATTACGAAGTGGTATCGAAAGCCAAGTAGTAAAAACATCCTAGTTCATTACCTCTCCTCTCACCCCTCTCACACGAAAAGGGCGCTTGTGAGAAACATGGATAGAACAGCTACCAGCGTGTGCACAGGGAGACAACAGAGAGAGGAGTCCCGGAACTTGGCGCGCCAAACAGCCATTTTTAATGGCTACGAAACCGTAGCTCGAGATAGGTGTAGAGGAAACCACAGGTACCCCGGCGATAACTCTAGTGACAACAAGGTCCCGTTTATACTGCCGTTTATTTCAAATAAAGTAAGTGCAGCTATAAAACGCTGTTTAAGAAGGGCCAGTTTTTTCGAGAATTCGGTAACGATAATCGAAATACCACCGAGTAATCTAAGGCGCCAGCTAGTTCGTAACCGCCTATACGACCGTCTATGTGGAACGCAAAATTGCATAATTTGCCCCAATGGTAGAGACGGTGACTGCATGAGTTCGGGTACAGTCTATCTAATCTCTTGTAAAGCGTGCGGCGACGAATACGAATACGACGAATACGTTGGCGAAACGGGTAGACCACTCTGCGTACGTATAAAAGAACACCTAGTCGGCAAACGTAAGCTAAGTACTCCACTAGGTACGCATAGCACGCAGAAACATAACGGAGAAGATTTTGAAGTAAGGGTTACGATCCTCGCGTAAGAATCGAGAACACAAGCGCGCAAAACTCTAGAGGCATTCTGGATTAATTCCAGGAATCCGAAAATGAACCGCAGGAAGGAATGCCTCGTTATCACGCGTGGTATTGGACAGTATATAAACCTGTTATTCTGATGGGAGGAGCACATTACGCTTCCATGTAAATTTGGTGCGGTCGGTCTTCACGCGACATACTCAGTGGAAGACTCATAGAAAGCGGTGAGTGTGCAGAGCTATGCTAAATGTGATTGAAATCTTGGTTTAGCGTTTTCTCTGTTTGGTTATGGAGGTGTTTGGCCGAATGGATTGCTGTCAAGTTGACCCTTCCAGGCTCTGAGGAAGGCGAAATCCGCCGAAACGTCAGCTTGTGCGTAAATAAAGAAATAAAATAGCACCTCGTGCTTGCTGAACAGAAGTAGAAAGATATACCTTTTTTATTTTCTGCCTACTATAATTTCGTGGTAGGGTACTAAGCAAAATACAACCACAACGTTGCTGAGATATTTGCAAAACTCTGGACCGCAGGTGTCTATGGTGGGGAACGAACGCGCTATTGTCTTTTCCGGGGAGTAACGCGTTTTGCAAATATCTCAGCAACGTTGTGGTTGTATTTCGCTTTGTACCCTGCCGCGAAATTATGGTAGGCAGAAAATAAAAAAGATATAACATTGTAATTTCAACTACAGCCGCAGCTTAACTGGGTTCTATGCCGATTAGGGCGCCCCAGATCAATCCCGCTGACGGGTGATTGCTATGGCAAGGATCGATAGAAGTAGCTGAGAGACAGGCGAAACAAAGGACCCGCATGGTGTGGCGGTGAACGCGTTACTTCCCGGAAAGGACAATAGCGCGTTCGTACCCCATCATAGACACCTGCGGTCCAGAGTTTTGCAAATATCTCAGCAACGTTGTGGTTCTGTTTCGCTTAGAAAGATATATTCAATTAATGCCGAGGTTAATAGAAAGACGGACTTGGAAATTCTAGAAGTCGACGAAGAAGCAGTTACGAAAAACTCTCGAGTCGTTAGAGTGGTTTATGACGCGTCCGCTCACTACAAAGGATGTCCGTCACTCAACAATCTCCTTCATCGAGGACCCGTGATCCTTCCTGAACTGTTCGGCATTTTGCTCCGCTTCGGATCTGGACGCTATGCTATAATCTCTGATATCGAAAAAGCCTTCTTACAGGTACGTCTACATGAAATCGACCGTGATTCCACGCGCTGCTTGTGGCTACATGATCACACAAGGCCACCTACCCCAAACAATATCAGAACTCTGCGATTTACCCGCGTGATTTTCGGTTTAATCACCTGTTATCAGGAACGATCCTTTTCCATCTCGATAAATACAAAGACTGTATCCAACTCGTAACAGAAGTAAAAGAAAATATGTACGTCGATAACCTTATTCTAACTGTTGATGACTCCAAGAATCCTTCTACGTCTACTCACAGTCCAAGCGAATTTTCGACGAACTTAAGATGAATCTCTGTCAATTCGCTTCTAATGATACTGAATTGGTAACAGCAATTCAATCAAAGGGCAGAGCGGACAAAGATATAATAAAAGTGTCAGGAATCCCTTGGAGTCCATCCACCGACTGCATTACGATCACGTGTAATCCCAAACAGCAATCACGGATTACCAAGAGAACAATTGCCAGTGTCATTGCTTCTATATATGACCCGTTAGGTTGGCTTCTGCCTCTACTTCATGGATCAAAAGTATTCCTTCGTGAGTTGTGGAAGGACAAGTACGATTGGGACACCCCTCTTCCGCGGCCTCGTGAAGAAGAATGGGCGCATATCGCATCAGAAATTCAAGGATTCGGAAAGAGTCTATCGCTCTGTTTAGGTTTAAAAAACAAAGTAAACGGTAGCAACGTTCGCTGATGCCAGCAATGATGCTATAGCCACTTGCTTATACCTACACCCAAACACTGCGCTTAATCTACTCATAGCAAAAGTAAATTAGCTTCGGCAAAATCCAGTCCAACTATTCCAAAAATGGAACTAGATGCAGCATCATTAGCCCTACGCACAACTAACGCTGTCCTATCGCAGCTACGAAAAATAGTCAGGATAGACGAGGTATTCATCTTCTCAGATTCCGAAATCGTATTAAATTGGATCAAACATAGACCTTTAAATAACGTTGGAACAAGAATATTTAATAGGCTAATAGAAATAGGGAAGATCACACAACATCTACAAAAAAACGGACATCAAATCAACTTCTGCTACATCTCATCACGAGATAACCCCGCAGACTGCGCAACGCGAGGATTAAGCCAGCAACAACTGAGAAATCATTTTTGGTGGACTGGTCCTCCAACTCTTCACCAATTCGTGGAAATATGGACGAGTAAGCACAACTGTTTCCTCCTCGATGAAGAGACATCGCAAAAAAGCACAAAATTCCATTCCAAGAACGACACGAAGTCAGATGACACGCAATTCTCCCAACAAGCGCAAATCCTCCTGACAAAGTCTGTTCCCCCAAACAAGAATTACGACAAAGGAGTCTTTAGTTCTTTGCAAAGCTATTCATTACCGAATATTAAGAGAGTTATAGCGTTAATTCTTCGCTATATTAAGACTTCCGTATCTCGACTAAATCACCGAGCAAAGAAGCCAATTAAACTTTCACCTTTACTGAAAGCGTAATATCAAATAGCGACTTCAATATAACCGGTGCAGAGATTACCCTGGTTGGGAAAACATTGGTTAAACAACATCAGCTATCATTAGTAACACCATCCATACTGCAGTCTATGAAGCATCTACATATCAAAACGGACGCAGAAGGTCTACTTCGATGCTTTGGACGCTTTGGACGTAGTGAGTTAGACTCCGCTGCCCGAAACCCTCTAATAGTCTCACAGAATTCATGGCTAGCACAAGCCATCATTAAGGACTGTCACAATAATGGTCACCCAGGAACAGGGCACACCATGGCACGTATACGCGAAAACTTCTGGATACCCAAATTGCGTGCCCAAGTAACACACAATCTCCGACGCTGCATACAGTGCCAAAAATTCAACAATCTGCCGTACAAATATCCCGAAGAAGGTGACCTTCCTGAACAAAGGGTTCAGCGATCACGTCCCTTTGAGCATGTTGGCATAGATTACTTCGGTCCGATTTCCACATTCAAATCAGATAACACAGAAGAAAAATGCTGCGGATGCATAATCACATGCTCAGCAATATTCTACATCAATCTGAACCGCTACACTACGTTGCCGATTACCATTTCGTTACACATTATCCGTTTAAAAAGAAATTATTATCAACGGGTAGTCTTACCAACAACAACCGCCCTCTATAAAGGAAGCTACCGGTTGGAAAACCTCATTCGAGTGGTGTTCCCCTGAAGGAGATTGATCTCGGTGCGATGACGAAGACAGCACATCGAGAAGACGAACAACTGTGGGCTATCGACCTGGATCACCGGCTACGATAAAGACTACGACGTCGAAACGTTAACCGAATAAATCTATTTGTCAACTTTTAACAGTTTTAGAAATGTATACGAAAATTCGAAATTCTTCTTTACTGTAGGCGTATTGGAATGGAATACTTGAATTATGTTTACCTCGTCAGTGTAAACCCGAATAGGGATTGATGCGGAATGCCTTAGCTTTCCAACAAGGATATTTCCCGAATTGTTGCTGCAAGAATATCCTGAATATGAACGGTGTGGTTTCAGCGAAGAATATGTTATCTCAATTCCAACTGTACAAAAGATAACATGAAAAAATAAAACAAACCTCGTTTTCTTCTAAACGAATCGTCTTAATATTCTCGATGCACAAACATGAGGCTGTTATTCCATTCATTATTTGTGAATAAGCTGACGATTCAGCGAATTTGCACACTTTCAAATCCTGCAAAGATCAAAAATCGAATGTCATGTCACCGTCATCCACACCCTCCACTGCAGGGGGTGCATCTTTTGTCCCAGCGCCGTTGAGAGAAGGATAGAGAACGACCTAATATAGTAGAATTAAGTGTTTTCAATAGAAGTAGCACGTTTGCAGTGATGGATGCAAGAAGCCAAAACTCATCATATTGCGATTAGAAAAGTGGGATTCCCAATAGCAAATTTACTAGGTTACTGCAGAGTTCAAGAAAGATCTTCAATTTTGCTTCTTCCTTTGTTTTAGCAATGATTTTTCCCCGCATATTCAACCTTAATTCCCATGACCGACTTTCTATTAACCTTGGCAGATGATCAAATAATTCTCGATATTCTTGTTGAGGAAACACAAGGTGTTAATTTATTCTTTATTTCTTCAAGCTGACGTTTCGGCAGTATCGCCTTCCTCAAAGCCTGGAAAGGTATAATGATATGCAACTTACTACGCCAAACGCTTCAAGAATGCATACAGAAAGATGAAAATCTGAATTGCAATCACACGATCAACTGCTTTTCGAAAAGCCTAGCGTTTATTACGTGTGTTCCACTGAGGAAAAACAGCTTGTCTGAGTCGCATATGGTCGATGAAGAACCATCCCCATCAAAAATCGATGCGAAGGTACAAAACAAGATCAGGTGTGATCTCTGGGCATTCATCCCTTCTATACATTCTAGGGTTCTTGGCATTTATCCAAAAAGCCTCAAGAATTTCGCGTCGGTGTTTTGGCTTTCTGTTCAAGGATAGTGACTTCTATACCAAATTCTCCTCCCAGCGGTTTACCGCCTCATCGTGGCTGGAAGGTGTTTCTGGGTGTCGGAATGCGATGTACAGTGGGGAGAATCATTCCCCCGGCAGGGTCTCTTAGGCTGAGAAGGAGTTCGGCCTTTCCATCAAGAAGCCTAGCTAAGAGCAAACAATTACTAGGATTCACCACTATCCTGGTATGAAGCTAGCTGGATGGTGGTAAATGTTCCTCTGAACCACAATGGCGTCGACTGCCTGTGGTGGTGACGACCTGGAGCAGACTTTGGCCACACAGACCTTGGACTCCAGTTAACCATAATGGCTAGATCAGCAAACTTCAAAACACGGAAATTACACTGGAGCCCACACAACAAATGAAGATGGGCCGTCCAAGCAACCAAGTATACCAAAATCTTCTCTGATATGCTTTTGTATCCTATGCCTCCCTAGTGCGATGTTTTGCCTTGTTTTCGTTTGCTATCTAAGCATTCTTTCACACGGATACAGAGTGGTTTGCCCGTTTCAGGACTATGAAGCAAGTGACCGTGCATTTCAGGTACAGAACGTCACCTTAATCCTTTATGATTTAGGTGAGTTGGAATGGCCCTGAGATCTTAGCAGCTTCTCCGTACTCGTCGTACCCAGCGCCGCCGAGTCGTGGGCTCTTTTGGGTCAGGGAAGTGAGGCCCGTTCTTTTTACTGTGTTCAACATTTTGATACTCACGTATAGCTTGCTGGGCTGTGAACGTGGGGGCTGGGTATACTCATGAGTAGCTTGGCAGTCTCTCCCAAAGTGGACATGAAGCTTATTTGTTGGAGGCGACTCCTAACCGCCTCCCATATACCTTGCTGTCACTTGATGGCAGGTTTTTGGCTAATTTGACTCGTAGAAAACAATCTGCATTGACGAGAAAACATCCACGAACGCATGCATAAATGGGCCTTCGTAAACACAGAAAGTATGTGTCAAATTGGCTCAGCAGAAACACGGAGTCCATCCCCTGGATTCACCTGCGTGTCAGGTGAGCAGTCGCTTTTCGTCCGCGATTAATCTTTCCCTCTTTCCCTGTTCGCCATCTAGGGACGTAGTACGTGGCCTCGCGACTAACCGACTCGAGATCCCTCATATGAGGGAGATCCATGGATGTAATACATACAACATGTAAAGTTTCCATCAGTATAATTTAATATCAACCAAATTATGATGATGAATAATCAACATTAATTAATAATTGAAATTTTAGAATATGGTTGGAGAAATATAAAATATGGAGTCATAGAAGTAACAACGGATACAGTAAAAGAAATCCCGGATCTCTCAAGGAATGCCACCATATACAGAAATTTATACGCGCACATGGCATAGAGGTACTGTGATTCATTATAGCGATTAAACTTGAAATAACAGTCAGCTGCCCTGTTAAACTACCAGTTAACTACTTCTTCAAAAAAAGTTCTTTGTTTATCTATAATTGGAAAACAGAGCTTTTCCCAAACGACGACTGCTAGAATATGTGTTGGATAAGATACCGACCGATAATAAATGTAGATTTAACACGTTGTACGTGAAAGTAGACCAACAGAGAAAAAAGGCTGTTGTCGTTGTTGGTTGTTGTTATTGTTGTTTGTTGTTGTTGTTGTTGTTGTTGTTGTTGCTGTTGTTGTTGTTGTTGTTGTTGTTGTTGTTGTTGTTGTTGTTGTTGTTGTTGTTGTTGTAGTTATTGTTGTTACTACAGTAATGCCAATATTGCTATATTACTAGTAAAAGCGGGTACAACTCACCTTTTTTAATTCCCATCCTCATTCTTATGTCGATATATTAAGTGCACTATGACCTCAATTCCACTGCGTTTTAAATTTTATTGCTTTTAAACTTCCACAATATTGCCGTCCAGATCAAAAATACTTGAAATAACTTGGCTTCTCAATTTCAACCTTTGTGTTGCTCAAAATTCTACCTCTCCAGTCGCGCTGTCATCAAAAATGTTCTACACAGGACAGTATTATCGCATCCTCTGCGCAAAAGTCTTAGCAAGTGGCGCTGTTCAGTTATACGCTCACAAATTTTATCATCCCTCCACCATCCATTTTTATCCAGTAGTAACCGAAAATGAAAAGAAAAGAAATAAAGAAGAAAAACCCTCCAAGACATCAGCTGTGATCATTTGGATAGTCACTTCCATCTTCCTTCGGCTAATTTCCATATTTTAGAAAGAACTGATATTTCGCAACAAGGATTCTCCCTTTTGAAGGCTAATAACGCTAAAACTTGTTTGAAAAATAGATTAAAGTTACTCCCACGACCGACTTTGTATTAACCTCGGCATTGGTCAAGTTATTCTTCGTATTCTTCTTGAGCAAACGCGAGGTGTTATTCTTATTCTTTATTTACGAATAAGCTGACGTTTCGGTGGATTTCGTCTTCTCAGAGCCGCTTTCTATGAGCATCCAACCGAGTATGTCGCGTGAAGACCAACCGCACAGAATTCACATGGAAGCGTAATGTCACATTGCGCATTGATTACAATGCGCGTACTTCACAATGCTACAATTACAAGGTATTTCTGACAACGCGCCTAGTTTTTTGACCATTTTTCGTTATAGCTTCTTTTGCGGCGCAAACCTATGACTTCTCTACTGTGGACGTTGTCGCAAACTTTTTTAAAATATGTTCAAAATTACATTGATGTACTATCTACTACAATTTTCTAATGTGATCTGAGAAGAGTTCTTTTTACACACTGGAATTTACGATAAATTTTCATAAATTTTCCCTCGGCTTACCATCAAGCTTTTTCAAATACAATTGATAGTCCACTTAATAGTTTGTGGCAGCTACTGAAACATCTTATACAGGAGTGCTCCCAGATTCGATTAGGCTAGTGCAACCTACTTGAGACCTTCTGCTGGATATCTGGAATCGTAACAAACTGATAGATCTTCATCACACCAAACACAGCGTATTCAATTCTGGCATTCGAATGGTTTCTTCTTCAGCATCTAGTTAGTCAACATCATGAAAATTAATGCCAATTTGAAGAGAACTTCAACAATCACAAATTTTCTCATCAAAATTTTTCGTATGCGGTGGAGATAGGTCCTGCTTACTTTTCGCAAACACGCTGAGTAACCACGAGAATAGAATTTGTAAATATCCTTGGGCTATGTACGGGCAAGCGAAAGAAAGGCTCCATATTGAAGAGAAATGTGCATACTATTTGTAAGGCTCTACATGGTGTATGGAAAATAGGTCGCCATGTTGTGGTCGTTTGCGGCCATCGATTGTCCAGAGTGGTAAAGCGGTCCCTAAATTATGAACGATCTTTTTCTTTCGGCAACACAAATGAGAAGGAAGCTTTGGAAGATAGAAGCATTCATAGAGGCAGAAAATAATCTGAAACAAAGGACACAGGAATTATTTGAAATATACACTCGCAAGCCGATTTAAAAAAATAAAGGATGGCCTGTGTT